AGTCGCGTCAAGCAAGGTTAGCGTTCTCTCTCTTCATACTGTATTTTGTTTCATATTTTTGCAGTTTTTTAAAAAAACAACATATGGTTCAGAACGGATTAACCGTAATTACATTGAACCTTATGGGAAAATTTGATTCGGGTCGCGCCCAATTTGGGTCGCGACCAGAGTCGCGGAACGAATTAAGTTCGTGAACCGAGGTACCACTGTACTCAGATCGCAATCATGTGACCGTGGGGGTGCTGGGATGGCCGCAACTTTGAGGACTGGTCGTACTGGTACTGACCACTCCTTTTTCAGCACCACTGTAACTTCAAATGGTTGCTGAACAAATGGTTGTAACTCAAGGACTACCTGTAAGATTACATGTGCTATGAATCCATAAAGTAGTTTCTGTTTTCCCAGCCTCATTCCCAGAACATTCCATTAGCAAATACACCATTTGTTCATATTTTGCCTTTATTATATATCTGAATAAAGTTATAGTCATTTGCCTGGATCCGACACAAGCTTCCCATGGAAAGAGGGTCCTCAGCCATGGAGGGCTTCTGATCTAATGAGATTCCACTAACAGAAGTCAAAGAAGGCAACTTTTGTTAATTAGCCCTCTCTGAATCCCGTGCTGTCCAAAACCTTGTTTCAGAGTTGGAGACTCTTTGCAAAAGAGATGATTATAATGGAAATTTAGATGGACTTCCCCATTTCTTTCACTGATGGAAAATTCTGAGCATATCTCTATTAATGTGGGTGACTCTTGCCGGCTGAATAAAAGCAGGATCCAAACCCCTGTTTAATCAGCGTAACACCACTATGCCCAAAATTAGATTCTTTGTTTCAGCAATAAAATGTTCTCAGGGCTTGGTTTAAACGAGTGTTCTATCTCAGAATCAGTCTTGAAGTTTATGGGCTCCCTAAAGTGGATTACTAACAAATTTTCACTATCATCGTCCAGGGAATAACAATCTTCTCACCCCTTCTCAGGATTATACTAATTCCTGGGGGAGAGAAAATGGGAAACAAACTACCTAGCCTACGAAGAGAACATAAAACAACACTTTCTTTTTGAGGGAAAACAATGGAGACTGAATAATTTTAAAATAAAGGGGGTGGACATGAATGAGAAGAACAGTTGACTGTCTAGCATAGACCACACATGCTTAGCTTTTGTCGTATCTGTATCTCAGATGTTCAAATTGGGAGATGCTAACAATTTAAAAGAAAGAACACATGGAATAAAGTAGAACATTCAGCTGTGAGAAAGGAAAGCAACCGAGATTATTTTTCATGGTTGCCCTCATATTTGAAGTTAACTCCAGAAAGTCAACATTACTAAATACACCATGAAGTAAAGAGGAATTACTAACTAATTTTACCTGTTTATAGATTTTCCCCTTTTCCAGTTTGTTTATTTTGTCCCAGTGAAGAGAACCTTCCTCATCCATTTTTCTGAAAGGTCTTCAAAAAGTCAAAACATTGAAATTATAGGCTTCATTACAAAAATGTTATAAGAAAAGCTTTTAAACTGCAAATGAAAAGAGTTTCAAGTGCATGACTTTAGCTAATAAAAATAATACATAAAATAGAATAAAAATAGAATGGAAAGACTTGTACTGAGTTTATTACCAGATAAACTAAATTGCTGAAAATGTGTTAATAAAAGCAACATTAGGAAAGCTGAGGCCAATTTATATATTATTGTACATACCTTACATCCCCGTCTTCTACCCCCTGGAGCTTGCTCCAAACCAGTGTTTCTCAACCTTAGCAACTTAAGATGTGTGGCCTTCAACTCCCAGAATTCATCTTACACTTGCTGAGATTGAGAAACATTGCACTAAACTGTACTGTGAATGGTGGTTTCTTGCCATTTTGAGACAGGAAACCCACAGAGTAAGCACAAACCTAAACTGTTGTCAAAAAGAAGAAAAAACAACTTCACCACCCAAAACTCAGGAAAAACAAAAATCAAACAAACCTGAGAATCCCAGCTCTGATGATGTGCATAAATAGCTTTACCCAATTTATGTTTTCATCCCACTGCTGCAATACTTGACTGTCGTTAACTGAATCCCACAGTTGTGAGGCAAGGCAACTTCCTGCCGGCTTCCCACAACCAAAGTCAGTGGGGAAGCTGGCCTGAAACATTTTGGAAGTGAATCAAACTCAAAACAGTTCTTGAACAGTTTTCTTTCAAGCTTGAAACACTTCCCCAGTGGGCCAAATGGCCCATTTTGTGTGCAAAACAGCAGTTCCACACTCAAAGGAATATTTCGTGAAATTTCACTCTTGAAATGTTTTGCATATCTTTGCACAATATAAATTTCTGAAAAAGTAGGTACTGTATATATTAATTTCCATTTTTAAGGAGTTAATGACTACACACACACACACACCCATCTATCCCAAAAGAAAGAATTAAGAAGTAGGCATATGAATGAATGACAGCCAGAATAGCTTTGAGTTTTCTGTAGATAAACTTTTCCATTCAATGTTTATCGTTATACAGAGTAATAAAGACCAAACATTCCTTCACACAAGGCTTAAAAACAATTTCATATGTTTACATGTAATGTGGAAGACAGTTTTAGCAAAAGAAGTATGAGGTGACCTGGCCAGATTTTGATTATACAGAATAACTTAGCACCTACCCCTGTAAAATCGTATCAGTTGCAAAATTAATTCCTCCCACCCACACATGGTGTTAGGATAGGTGACCATGACATGGCATCATGATATGGTACATTTTGGGACCTATTCTGTTTTAGATGCAGCTAATTATGCATAGCAGAAAAGAAGAGAATATGGATTTGCCATTTTGATGGGAGTTGTATTATTATGCGTGGATCATATCTAAGTAACATAAAACAATCAATACACTTACTTTCTTTTATCAGTAAAGAAACTGGGCTTATCTGCTTGCACAATGACCATGTCAAAAAGGTCCTGCCAGTTTTTGCCAACCATGTATTTCATCCCTTTATCACTATAGACAAAACAGAGGAAAAAAATGTAAGTAACTTCAATGTTCATTTCCTTAAGCAAAAAACTAGCTACTCTCAGAGTTCCTTCACACAGCATTTCTGATTATACGAGTCATTTAGTACACAGACCAAGGAGCGCAGTTCCTAGCCAGCTTTGATAGTTTGTGAGAACATGTGGCTTTTCATCCACTTGGGGACTGGTTAAGAATGGCTTCTTGGCTCCTGTGTAAGCGCTTGGAAAGAGCAAGCCTTGTTCCCAGATATTTCTTAGGCAAAGTTCAGTGAAAAGCCTCCTTCTTTCTCCTGGATTAGAGCAAAAATGAATCACTGCTAGTGAATTTTTATCATGCAGCCAGGATTTGCTATCAATCCCTCAATTAGAAGCAGTGACTAACATGCATTTTTCGCATTATGTATACAGAGGCCATCAACAGCACTGAGACTCTTGTAGGAATTACTTCAGCAGTGCCCTTAGCAGCCAATTTGTGGGATTACAGACAACTGAGGAATGCAGGTACTCAACAAATACAAAGTCACTTTTGTATTTGATGCATGAGTCACTTGCCCTATCACCAAATAAAATAAAGAATAGTTTTTATGGCTCCAAACACTTTGGTCCAATAACATTTACTGATAACAGCATGAATGCACATATCATGTTTTATATTTCTCAACTGTTTTATTTTACAATCATTCCAAAACCTCTAAAGATGTGTGATCACATCACCTTATGAGAAGTAGGACAGCTAGATATTCCATAATATCAGAGGCCTAAGAATCTCCTAGACTGACAACAATTCTCTCCAGTTCTTTTTTTTTTTTTAATATGACACTTTAATTAAGAGAGAGGGAAGGCTAAATGGGAAATGGAGAACACACAGAGATCTTCTATTTCCCCACATGGCCTTAGTGTGCTACAGAGCTGAGTGTTTGGGAAGTAAAGGATTCTACCTTATCATTTTTAAAGTATATCTTTACAATTGTAAGAATTAGACTTGAAGACAGGATTGCATGAAAATTTATAACAGTATTAATAGGTCACCAAATCTTATGATGCTATAATGATAAGCTGTCTTTACTTGAACATTTTCAGTCCTCATATTTATCTCTTTATATCTGCACAGCACAGATCATTTCATCAAGATGAATGCATGCAAGTTAATACTTACACAAAACTAAAAGGACTGTTTGTGATGAGAAAGAGTTTTTTATTGTTGTTAACCAATCTGTTTAAGACAGCATATGTTTCATCTCCATGAAGAATATATTTTTCTGCAAGAAACAGGTGAAGCTCAGTATAATATAAACATTTGTATATTGCAATGGAAAAAGATATAATTTAGTTACATTTCACCTGGTGATCTGAAATAATTAATTTACAGAAGGTATGAGAGTTCTCCAGAGAAGGAAGAAAGGATAGGACCAAGATTTCTTCCCCTCCTTAAACCTCTGCCCTCAACTCACATCTCATTGGCTAAATAGAAAGTGACAATTATGCAATGTTTCCGCATGGATAAAGCAATGGTGGGCAGGGTAAGAATGAAATTTCAGTCACTGACGTAATCTAGATTCCAAAGCACTATATGTGGGATGAGGCCATCCATCTCTTGGACTAGATTTGGTTGCTCACATCCGATCTGAAGCATAGGCAGGGATCCAGTGGGTGCAGGGCCTTTCTAATCTTCAATGTCCAAACCAATTGTGGTTAAAAAATATTACCCACATAGTCATTGGATGACTTTTTTTTAGCACATAGATTGTGGTGGTGCAGTAATTCTGACGTTAGGGAGAGAAGAAACCCTCCTTTCTCTGACTTATGTAACTCTTTTTGGAAAGGTGTTAACAAGTCAAATGGTTACATGGAGGCATCTTTGTGACCACATGTCCACATGATAATGAGTATATACAGAAAGGAAGAATGTTGTTGTTTTGGTTCTACCTCTTGCTGGGATACCGATCTGGGTAGTTAACCACAAGACAATCTGCCTAAAGGTTCACCACCCTGATCTAAAATCATTACATGCCAGTGCTCATTATTATTCACAATGTTTAAAAGTTAGGCCTTCACTGACCCATGTCCTTTTCAATCCATTTGTACATCATTCCTTTCACATGGACATCTTTAATGGCATCCTAAAATAGGAAAGAGTAATGAGGTATTAGTTTTAAAACCTAGTGTTGCATGTTGATACAACACTACCAAAAAGACCAGTCCAACAAGACTTTGAGAAACAGTACAGAGGATTTGTGATTAGACACTAGACCTGGTCTGCACTAGATCTTTAAGATAGTTCAGTGAATTTATAGGCTTTGTGCGGTCAGCTGGTGAGACAAAACCTCAGATAATGAACTCTTTCCATTATGTCACTAAAGAGACAAAGGTATTAGTTTGATAACTAGCTAGATGCCAAAAAAATTCAGTTTGCAGAACCAGGTTTTCCTGCAGCAATGGCTTTGCTTTATTGAGTCAATACATCATTAGCAAGCAAATTAACCAGCAAAAGCACAAAATACAACTTCTCCTGTAGCCATGAAAGTAATTCCTTATGCCTTACTTCATCAAGTTGTACCACTCTGCTTTCTGAGAGATCAGATGTTCAGAAAACCTCTAAAACCAACACTCCATTCACTGACAATATAAATGCTTTTATTTCTGAAAGAGTAGAAACCCAATCTCTTGGTTCACAATATAAGCCAAAGGCCAGGTAGACTATAGTAGTTTTGCAGAGGTGCAGTTCTGGGAGACTAAGAATATTGCATAGGGGCAGCAACGAAAGATATACAAATACCAGTTTCACCTCTGCACAGATTCAGGCAGCTAGTGTCCAATGGGACAAGAGAGAAATGAGGTAGCATTAGGCAAATATCATCATTCCACTGCTTCTTCCAGGATAGTTTCTCTAACACAAAATGTGGAGTGTTAACTTGGGACCCAAACTCAGGTACCTCCCCTAATTGGGAAGGGATTATAGCTCAATGATGTGCTGCAGGCTTCATACACATAAGGTGCCAGGTATAATCCCTGAAGGTGTGGAAAGAGGTACCAGTGATCAAAGAAAATAGTGGTCTTAAATCTGTTGTTATCACCCCACAGATTGGAAGATCAGTATCATAGCATTACAATTTTAAAAACATCTATTTTAAAACATTCAATATTTTGTTTTTACATCCACATCACACAAAAACCATGCAAAGATGCCCGTGGCCTGAAAAAACTGTGGATCCCAGCCATAGCTTTTAAAGGTTAAGGTCAGTTGTACAACCCCAAACTATTTATGCAGCTAATGGGAATCCATATACCAACTGACATCACTAGACTAGTGATGTTTTAATCTAGTTTATTCGATTGTATTACACAGCATACTGGAATAGGATTGACAGTAACAAGGCTTGCTAGCAAATGGAACAAACAATCCTCTAAAGTTACTTTTTTCTACAGAAAAATATCTTAGGTAAAGCCTTCAAAAATATAGTTGCCACATTAACAGAAAAGCAAAACAGAAAACTTTCTAGAAGTAATTTTGATTCTGAGTATAATTCTTAAATTAAATATGATTTCTGTAAGCACTGCCGTTATGTAAGAGGTCATGCATTATATTTCATGCCAATTTTTATAAAAAGCTGTGTTTTTCTTAATAACTGTTATCAAGTGTATACATTATACCTGATGTTTACATAAAGCAAAATGCACATCAGATACAGAAAACCTGAACTGATTATTTTCCCTTATGTTCTAGAAGAGTTATACTTACGCTGACGTCCTTGAAAAGATGAACTTGGTCGTACTCAATATTATGAGTCATGAAATAGTCAGTCACTGATGAAAGTAGGGTCATTTCAGGAAGAGAAAAGATGTCCATAAATTGTTTAATCGATGGACCCTACTCAGAAGAAAAAAAAATATTATCACTATAAAAAACAGATGTTGAATTGTGGACTGGACAACAGAACATATTGCTATTGAAGATAATGCTCTCCCATGGAAATGAGTGAATGAATACCACATAGCCTTTTCCAGCTGAACAAAAGATACCCTGGCTTTCTTGTTCAGTTAGAATCAGCCCCTGTGGCATTCCACTCATAAGTAACAATTTAAATAAGCTATGCTTTTAAAAGACTCAGAAAATTAGATAACACAAGTATGAGATGCTTTTGATTATACAATACTGTATACTTAACACAAGTTTTTCTATTACAATTAAAAAATACTTTCAAAACTCTTTTTCGTTCCAGCAGGACCAAGGACTAATCTAAAGAAAATGTGATTTGGATCTGCTTTAGGTTGTTAGTACATTTTTTATATTGGGGGAAGGCAGAAATAGCCAAGAAATTGCACACAGATATAGCACAAAGAAGAAACCATATCAAGTTCCATGAACTAACTGCACAGAGAGCCTGGGCCATCCAAGATTTAGAGGATTAAACTATGTTGTTAATTTGAAAAAAAAAAAAAAA